TTAAGCCTCAGTTAACTTTATTGTGTGCTGCTGAATACGTTGGTTTGCACTCAGTTGGTGGTTCTAACATGCACACAAGTATTTGTATACATCGTTGTTTCCCGTGAATGTGCCATTCATCTTCCTGCTTTATTTCATTGTTCATTTATTTCCGAGTAATTTTGAATCTGTAATCTAGTGTTTTAAAGAAGACACCAATTGATGCTTAATGTACGTGGTGGAGGCACAACCATATCGTGCATGTAACATCAATTAAAAAGTAAGATTTGGACAAGGCTAAATGGCAAGCAGGGCTCATCAGTGTCATCTGTTTGAGATAGACTTCTAGATCTGTGCAATTAGTATTTTCCTGCATGCACATTATAAGGTTTCAACATTCCTTTTATTCTGGTGTCAGCCAACAATTATTATTGTTCCAGTGTTATCAAACTGGCTACTTGTTTGCTTGTTTCCAAGTGCTTGACTCGCTGCTCACCCTGTTTTTTTCCGTGATCAAGTTGTTTCGGGCTTCATTTCTTTACGCGCATATTGCACTGCGGGTGCACCATTTTGCACAGTGGAGGTCAGACAATTGCATTTGGGGTCTACCTGCTCAGTACAATGTGATGTCACCCAAACTATCTTAAGTTTTGCTCTTGTGCGGAGGAGTAGAGTAAGTTTAGTAACACTTGGAAGCGTCTGTTTGCGGGAAGTCCCAGTGTAACGGAGTTAGGAAGGGGAGGAGCTACCCTCTCACATTCCCCAATGTTTACTATCAGTCACTTGTTATCCTTCCTTGGCTTCAGATCATCACATGTGAAGTAAACTCACACGAACTAAGCAAGTGGTATAAACGGAGGTGTCACTGAATGCATGATGTTAGGCAAAAGTGGGACCCATTGGAAGGTTGGTTTGCACCGCAGATGAATTAACTAAGTGTAGTTAGTGATACGCCAATAAAATCTTCCTTGTAGAACTTCATTTAGTTAAAACCTTTGAGAATTATTTTCCATTGAGCTTACAGACCTTTAACTGTATGGATTTGCCTGGTGAAGTGTGTTTTCTGCATTTCATTTGTCACTTTCCTCTTCGCCGATCTAATCAACGTTCCGGATGTTACGGTTGTCAAGTGGTTGTAGATATATAAATTCCGTAGTTGTGCCCCGTGTTAGAATTTTCAGTGAAATAATTGGAAGAACTCGGGTTAATCTCTCAGTACACATGAACACCGACTTATGCATGGAAATGGAATCCACGCTAGCACCCTTAGAGCTGTTAACCCCGAGTAAAATTGCAGCGGTATATTTTGGAGAATTTTAAGTCATGGTATGCTTTGAGAGTATTTTTGATGGCAAAAGCGTGGTTGAGTTTACTACTGTCAGCTTAAGCTACGGTAAGTTGGATGGTCATTGCTGCCTTTGCCAAGTAAGCTGGTCTCTTTGTCGTGCCAAGGCTTGTGTGTCTTCCCGTTTGATGAATGTATGCATGCGGCATAAATTTTATGCCTACCTCCTTTCTCAGAGCAGTCTCGGTATGCTTGGCATAACCGTTTAAGCCTTCACAATTATGATTTCACTTGTGATGCTTTGTACATTTGACCACCAACATTAGTGACGGTCGCCTTAGTGGCCATCTTGTTTCTACTGAGTGGATTGGCCTTCAAACCATTGATAAAACCCACATCTATCCTATCGCTCCAAATACAAGCATTTAGACACAACTTACACAATCTCAAATTTCTCCACAAGAGAAAGGTTTAAAACGATGCCAGTTTATGCTAGTTTCCCCAGTTACGTGTACTAAAGGTAAGACGTTAGTAATTGACGCAACACATGCCATAAACAACATGGGAGCGTTTCACTTAGGACTTGCCTTTACTCCATCGGTACACAGATGTTGGCGACCTGAAAATGTCCGCGTTAAACTCCACTCTTCTCAACTTGACGGAGTAATCAAGAAACTGCAGTTTTCTGTGTATTTTATTTATCATAGAGGCATAGGTTTAAGCGGCTGGAGAGGTCACAGACGGGTAAATGACTACTCTTAGCTTAGGACTAACAACCTTATAAATAGTCTCTCATCTCCGACTTAAACGGCACAGCCAAAGGACTAATATTTATTACTGCCTCTTCTGTATTTAAAAAAAAATAATGATTTTGTGCTGCTTGTACAGCATCTAGCTATGGACACGATTGATGATAAACAGAATACCCCATCACACATTTTGGGTGTTAAAAATGAGTCTCGCAGGGAAGTAGAGGAATTTCACTCAAATAGGCCCAGGCCTTCTACTTACTCTTCTTTTCTGATAGAGTAACCCTTAATATGCCTAACGTAGCTCCTCAGAGATCTTTTCGCAAAGAACCACACCGCCAGAATTAGAACTCATGTTTTTGGTGTCCAAAATCCTCGTTATTAAATGACAGGTTCTTTGCAATCAGCTGAAGCTGCTAAAAGATATCAGAGGCAGTAAGTTCTAGTACCTCTTCTCAGTCACAGACGCAGATGGCTGGCTCGTGGGTAATTCCTGATAGCACCAATTATGTTGTGAATTCCGGCGCAGGTGATGTAGCGATAAGAGCGTCAAACACATTGCTCCAAATATGAAAAGCACTGTAGTTACTGCCTATCTACTCTCTGGTCCCAGGTTCTCAGACTTTAAGAGGAAGTTGGTTGCAGATGAGTTATTAGGTATCGTTGCTAGGAAGGATGGGGAATGGGATATAAATGAAGTGGGTAAGAGGTATCATTCGGAGGGAGACTCCTCGCCGACTTCACGCACTTTATTCATGCTCCCAGTTGGTCCCCGCCTCTCACCTATAAAAGTCCACTTAAACAAGCTAGAATATATTACAAGCACTGCATAGCACGTTGCTTATTCATCCCCCCAGTGATGGCGACCACATCGGTGTTCATCTTACTATTGGCTTGATGGGGTGACATAGGTGTCAACCAAGGCCAATTTCATTCTTTTCTCCCTGAATGTAAATACTTAACCAAGTGTTATGCTTATTCATGCCTGACATCGAAGTAGCTTCCGGTGTAACTGAGTGATATTGACTTTTCATTTATTCAGTGTTAAATGATCACCTAAAATAAAGGAGAAGATTCCTTCCAGATGTTAATTTCAATGACTATTCGGGGCTGCCATTACAACGTCCCAAGACTTCGAATAGGGTGGAAGAAGACAGCAAGAGAGGCTGGATACGTGTGTACCAAAGAGAACAGAGCAATCGGACCAAAGCATCGCCCGAAGAATGGCCCGCGAGTACAAAGACAAGACAAATCCGCCAAACATCAGTTTATCACATAAACGAAGAATCACAAGCACCACGCTAACAAAGCTGTTAAAAATTGAAAACAAAGTAATAATTTGTGCACAATCTATGTGGCTTAACTCAGCATTTTGCAACCCATACGCAAAAAAGGTAAAAAACAACAAAAAATGAATTATTAAAAAATTGTGCACCTAAAACAAGTATTTAAGTTTATATTTTGGGTGCCGGCTATGATAAACCGCGCAGTTCGTTTCAAAGCTTGTTTTAACTGACAAGCGTGAACATGGGGGACCGTTTGGTGGTGTGGATCCGTTTCCTTGGATGACGCCTTTGTTTCTGCTTTTTCTTTAACGCTTCTGGTGTTGACTCTACTTATCCTGCTTTATTTTTAAGTATAAACTTTCTTCTCCATTGAGTATACGTTTAGAAGCCGGTTGAGCTATCTCGACACCATCGATTCGCCTGCGACGTGGTTTTGAACTTTGGTTTTGTGTGGCTCGAACAGGAGGATCTGTGTCGTTCCAGCAAACGCTTTATTAAAGTTTGTTGGTTTTAATTTGTACATGCAGGTATCTCTTTCAGAACGAACATTGTATGTGTCAAAGGGCTCGGATTTGCCTCGATTCCAAAGTTTGTTTCTATTTGCATTCTTATTATTGTTGTAATTGATAATCATCCATGAGTATTGTCTTCTTTTTTTGCTTCCTTGGCGTATTGAAGTAAGTTGCTGACATTCGTGCCCGCGCTCATGCATTGAAGTAAGTGACATATAGCGTAGAATTGACATGGCGGCGCGTCGGTGAATGCGTTTTCATTAGAAGTAAGTCGTCACTCCTCCGGTCAAATTATACTTTACCATACTTATGCTCCTCTTTGATTGGTGAGGTTTGGCGGTCAAGTAAGTTTCTGTACCAATGTGCAAGGCTGGAGAAGTATCTAACTTGTTGGTGATAAAGAATGGTCCATGCGTTCTTGTGTCTATGACACTATCGGCTTACACTCGGCTTCTGTAAAGTAAGTTAGTTCGTTCGTATTGTTTGCGCTGAAAATGGTGTAGTTGTAGCAGGGTTTTGGGCTTTGAGTGGATCGCATGGTGTTCAAAATCCAGTGCACTGGTCATAGGTGTTGACGCTTACCGTGCTGTCTTTCCTGTCGCTGATGGAGGTGTCATCATATCGGTCGTTCTGTTGATCTCTTTGGTTCCCATCTGTCGATGCGCGCCATTTGAAGTTTTGTAGCAAGCTAAACGCCCCAGTGGGCCTTACTTGCCGTCGCTTCCGTGCTCAACGCTACGAGCAATCTGCTCGTCCTTACTTTCGTTTGGTTCCCGTCTCAGGGGCACGAAGGCGTAATTCATTTCCTCTCGAGAAAAAGCTCCCCGTCATCACCTAT